AAAAAAATAATAATAATTTAAGAAATAATACATATTTATTAAAATATACTAATCAAATCACGATGATATTATTAAAATTAAACACATTATAGATGGGTTAAAAACAAAATTGAATACACGTAGTTGAGGCTACATAAATGGACCCTATTTGACCTGCTCCACAGTGAGCACAAGCACATTGAACAGGATAATAGCTAATACTGTAGGTAGCTCATGCATACAAGATATTAGTACTGAAAAAAAGAGAAAAACTTCCACAAAACAGAATTCTATGCCCACAGTTACCCACCACTAATCCAGGGAAACGCAAAAAAACCCTATAAAGCATGGTTCAATTTGCTCCAACAGGGGAAAAAAATTCCTTCCTGATCCCATCAGGCAATTGAATATTCCCATTGACAAGGCACGTGGCACAGAAAGCTGTACTGCTGAACCAAATATTGTGGAGTCATTTTACTGGCTGCACAGTGGAGCAGGGTTGTGAATAGCAAAGGCATGCCGGACAGACCCAAAATTCATTTGGCAAGTACATAGTTTACATATATCTGTATTTAGCTGTATTCCTCAAAAGACACGCTTATTCAGAATATGTGTTTAATGCCAAAAAATTACATTAGTTCCCTTCAAGAAGTTTGGCTTTTTCTTTATTCCGTGAAAGGATCCCCCTGTGTTTACAGTTTTAGTTTTGCGAAAGACAAAAAGTGGCAGCGAATATGAAATTGAAGTGTAAACAGCCAGACAGCAGGCTACAATTTAAAATGTAAACATCTCCATTAGGTCAGTGACTTTCCAGGTGGTCCCATCAATCTCAGAGCTGATTGCCCGCTTCATGCAGGCTCCTTCTATGGAAAGTGGCCTTCTTCATGGCAGCGTGTCATTGACATCATCTCGCATTCACTTACTGAGGTCTGAATTCCTCTCTATGTCACTGACCAGGGTCACTGTGCATTAATCACATCTACAGATTTCTTACCTGTATTTGGTAGGGTGCTGACATATCCTAATTCCTCCAGCAGTCTGTGCATTGGGATCTTCTGTGTCTCTTTGTTTCCTCTCCAACTCAGGATGGGGCAGCCTGTAAAGCCTGTCAAATGGAAATTTGTACTGGCAGTGAACAAATTCTGTACCCCTCTTATCTTAAAAGCCAGCTGCACTTCTTATAGAGAAGCACATTGGCTTAGAGGTGAACAATTCTGCCTTGCTGCACCTTGCTGGTTTGAATCCTAGTCAGGGCTTTGTCAGCATGGAGTTTGCATGTTCTCCCTGTGCTTGTGTGGGTTTCCTCCTACACTCCAAAGACATGCTGGTAGGTTAACTGGATTTTGTCTAAATTGTCCCTAGTATGTAAGATAGGGACTGACCATAAACTGCTCCAATTTGGTCCTGTTGACCCAGCTAAAATTTGAGCAGTGCATGGCCCCACCGATACCTTTCTATTCAACAAAAGTCAATATTTCAGTTGACTTTATTAAAGAATCCAAGTCGAAAAATGTCAGCCAAACAGTGCCTGTAGCCAATTAGTTTCCGTCACTGTTCATGTACTCCATAGCCAAAATACAATAGCCAGAATGGGAGAAAAATAAATATCTAATAGACCCCAAAAGCAAGGTAATCTGTAGAAGTTTTTGTCTTTACTGTCATCCACAATGCTCTAGGAAGGGACCACTCTCCCACATTTGGGCTCTCCAGTATTGTACATAATGGAATATCATACTTGGTTCAGAGTGACATCATCATTGGGCATAGGAATACCCATAGCAATTGGGCAAACTTTTGGACAAACAATTGGAATGCCAAATATAAGAAGCCGGGATATTATTATTATTATACAGGATTTATATAGCGCCAACAGTTTGCGCAGTGCTTTACAATATAAGGAAGACATTACAATCACAATATAATTCAAGACCAGATGGTAACGAGCAGTGGCATCACAACGGGGGTGTGGGGGTTGTGGCCTGCACCCAGGTGACACCATTGGAGGGGTGACACCGAAATGACTGACAGTCATTTTGATGTCACCCTCTCTAAAAAGTCATGGACCGAGAGCCCCACAGTGTCAGATGAGAGGACGGGTGAAAATCCCCGCTTCTCTCTGCCAGCTTCCACCACCAAGATGGCCACCGGCAGGCGTCAATTAGACAGCCGAGCATGCGCAATTAAGTTATCACGCACTTGCGTGGTGATGTCACGCGCATGCGCGATGACGTCACAAAAGGGGTGACACCTGGCCACGGGACGCCCCTGATAACGAGGACCTGCCCGTGAGGGTTTACAATCTAAAGGATATGATTCAACTTGCAAAAATTGAACAATTTTGGGAGGATTGTCCTTTAATTGTCCCCATTTAGTACAGACAAGGTGGCCCAATAAAATATTAGAGCGTGTGACCTTTTAGTTGCCCAGGCAGTGTATTAATGCAGTTAAATAATTAATCCAGCTTTGTGAGTTGACCCTAGCTATTTTTCCAGTCATGGAGATTTCTGAATCCTGTCAGCTCACTTTTATTGGGATTTTGGGTGCAGTAGGACATTGTGTAAAAAAAAAAAGAAAAAAAAAAGTGGATAGCCTTTAATTCACCCATATAAAGAGCCAGGAAAATATATGTAGTGTAAAAGTGTTACATTAGTAGTTGTTGTTCATGGATGACTAAGAACTGTAAGAGTAACCTCTCTGTGCATGAATTAAGTAGCAAATGAACCTTGAGGTGTTGACACTGTGCTATGTTTACCTTTTGGTGAGAAGTGCCATCTTAAGTGCAGTCATTTAGGATCTACAGAGCTATCTGTTACCCCGGCCTTGCATTCTGGGATCCGTCTGGGAGTAAGTATTGGATGTCAGTTAAGCACCATTACCGGCTCATCCATTTTCTGCCTCGTGTTTACAAAACCAAAAGATTCAGCTTCTAATATTAAGTGGACGGAAATCCAGATGTTTTGATATTTGCAGTAGCCATATGAAGTGTGAATGTGTATTAGGTGAGTGACTGTGAGCTTTGCCTGGGGGCTTCACACTAAACATTGTACCCTTCTCATGTCTCTTCTTGTAGGACAACATGGCAGCCAACAAATTCCTTTTCCCTCTTTGCTACTCCTAAAGGCTGGAACTTCAAAGGGGTAAGATTTATTTTTTCATTTTCAATATGGAGCCAATGCATGCAAATGCAAGAGCTAAATAGTAACACGCACAGCTACAATCCCAGTGACATTATCTAGACTATAGCTTTCCTTTTAGAGTGGGTAAATGTATCCTGTGAAGGGTGATGGTGTGATCCCAAGTGCATGCTAAGTATGCAGAAACTGAATATGTACAGGGTTACTCACAAAAGGGTGAAGAGTTTGGAGGAGGCAGGAGAAGTGAACAATCTAGGACAACATAGCTGATTTGGAAACATTCACCAATTCAGCTTTTTTTCCAAGTCAGCTTTGTTGTCCTAGATTGTTCACTTCTCCTGCCTTCTCCAAACCCTTCACCCTTTTGTGAATAACATATATTTATTTATACATTTAGTGTTAACATATATATATAGAGCCATTTTTTAAAAAAATTGGATCGAGTAAGAGATGGCTATAACCACAGTAAGTTTTTTGGCCATCTGTGTCTGATTAGGGGTATCTCCCTTCACTTCCTGCCCTATGGACTCAACAGGAAGTGAAAGGATATACTGTAGTTCCAAGTACCATGTAAACGAATCTCTGGAACATATGTCCCCATCGAAGATATCCCCTCTATTCCTGTTTTAGATTTACACATAACTTTTGCAGTGACATTGGTGATCAGGACAATTACAGAGAGTGAATCTCCCTAACATGGCAGGGACCCTAACTTCTCACCAATCTATGCAAATCTGGAAAAAAAAGTTTTCCTTTCAATTATACTTTAATGCTTGTACAACATGAATATTTTGCACATCACTTTAAATACTATGTCTTATGCATAAAGTTGAAAAGAAAGCATGTTCACAGAAGTAAATCAAAATCCCAAAAATACGGGTTAAAGCAGCTCTGGATTAAAAAGAAAAAGGTCTCCCTGCAAAGAAAAGAGGGAAAATGTATGTAAACAAAATAAATAAAAATAAAACAATTGTGAAAAGAATATGAAAAAGTTAGAACCTTCATTCTCTTAGGCTGGGTTCACACCTGGGCGTACCATAGGGGGGTTTTTTCTGCTCGTTTTTTCGTTCAGTGAAACCCGCGTTCGACGCTCGTTTTTATACCTCCCTGGCGGTATGATTTATTTTTTATTTTTCCTTTATTTTTTTTATTTTATTTTTTTAACTTTCAAACTTCCCGCCGGTTCCGCCCCCCTGCGAGGCGGCCGCTCGCAAGGCACGGAACCAGGAAGTCAGCAGCGGCCGGAGGACACAGCAGGGATCGCGGACAAGGTAAGTCCTACGCTGTATTCCTGAGTGCGGCTCGGGGTTACCGCTTTGTTAACCCCGAGCCACACTCAGGAATACCAATGGATACACGCCGAAAAAACGCCCCAATGAAGCTCCTGTACTTGTTTGGGCATAGGGCGTTTTTCAGTGCATTTCCACAGGCTAAAATACGCCCAGGTGGGAACCATGCCCAAAGGGTTTCATGGGATTTCACTTGCTGCGCGTTTTTCAGTGCTTCGATCAGCGCTGAAAAACGCCCAGGTGTGAACCCAGCCTTAAAGAGCTTCAGTGGCTGAAACATTTTCAGTATCTGACACAACACACTTCCAGGTAGGTCAGATGCCTGGCACCTGCTGCACTCTTTGGTTGTGCCCACCATCCCCATATGTCACTACATGGTCGAAGAGATGTAGAGGTTGGCAGGTAAAGCTGAAACGGGGACCTTGGGAACGCTGATGCTTGAATACCTGAACGGTAAACTGTTGATTGGCTGCAGTCACTGTTCTTCTGACAATTTTGTGCCAATATCCTTTGATATTACTGTCGACCTTCAGGGCAATCCACAGCTCGAATTTTGCCCGCTTCACAGGAATAGGATGAAATTGAAGCCATGTATGGCCGGCTTAATTGTAGCTTGCCTCAATTCTCAATTGCACAGAAAGGTGACACCAACTGTTTTTCACGTTGTTTATTTTTCGCCTCTGTTCTTAACATTGCATCAGTAACCCCCCACAACTTATCCACATTCTGCAGCCCCCACAATCCCCTTGGCTTACTTCAGCTTCCACTATATCCCCCTTCCAAGCTGTTCTTTTCCCAGTATCATTTGCTGTCTAAAGGCTACGTGATGACTCCACAGTGACACGACAATCCCGTCCGAAAGACAAGCAAAATAGTCTCAGGAGACCTTGCAGTACCAAGAAATTGAATGGTGGCTTAGTGATTAACAACTTGGGTTTGATTTCAATTAAGGGCAATACCTGTGTATCTTTAAGTGTTGAATCCATATGTTCTGGTTTTCGTTTAACACTTTAAAGCATGGGTTTACTGGCACCAATGCAAAACACTCTGCAAAGAACTGCGAAGCATAGAAATGAATTGAAAAATCAACTGGACTGTTAGTAGAATAAATAAACCTGTAACTCATCATTTTGAATAAAACATCCACCAAAGCTGCAGTGGTCAGTGTCCACAGTGGGGCAGTGTTGAGCTAGCATCTGCTTTTCAGTGTAGTTGGTACCTGGTCAGTATATTATCCACCCAAGATAATAAAGTTTATAAAAAATGATGCCGTCTTTATTTAATTTTGTGAAAGGGTTAACCTTCAATCAAACATTACTTTTAATAGATGAAAGTTAATTGCATAACAATATTTGCTTGCCATATGTTCTATGGTGTTAAATTTCGGTTGCTTGAGGGAGATTGGGCAGATGCAGCTTTTCACATGGTAAAGCAGACTAGATATCACCTTTACACAGCAGTGTATTCGGGGGGAGAATATTAGCCCAACTGATCTGATTATGTAGGGTTTGTTTATTCTTACAAGTATACTTGCAGCCCCAGTACACACATGACACTCCTGGATGGCCTTGGTTGGTCTTGAAAGTGGAAAGTTTGCCAGATGTAAGATGTTAATCGCCTGATCTGGCTGTTTTCTGTAATCTCATGTATACAGCAGTGACAGACACCCAAAGGCTGACCACTCCTGGGGGAAGAGATCGAATGGGCAGAATCACTATACTTTCCCCTGAGATAAGCTGTCACTGGTTGATGTCTGCCCATACTCCCTCCCTGTTTCTCCCCTCTCCATGAAGTGAACATACTAAGGTGAGCCATGGGTACATGGTTATATCACACTTGTATAGTTGATGTGTGCCTGAGCCGTGTGTACACAGTTAAATAACACTTGAATAATTTATGTCTATGGGATGTGTCTCTGAGACATGCGTACATGATTATAAAACACTTGCATAATTGATATATCTCTGGGATGTGTCTCTGAGCCATGTGTACATGGTTATATAACACCTGTATAACTGATGTGTCTCTGTGATGTGTCCCTGAGCCATGTGTACACTGTTATATAACACCTGGATAGTTGATGTGTCTCTTGGATGTGTCTCTGAGCCATGTGTACATGGTTATATAACACCTGGATAACAGATGTGTCTCTGGGATGTGTCTCTGAGCCATGCGTACACGGTTATATAACACCTGGATAACTGATGTGTCTCTGAAAGGTCAGAGGCCTGTATATCCAAATAAAGGGTCATTTCCCTTTAGAAAGGATCATGCATTTTTAAGATGCTGAAAAGGTAAAGAAGTTGTAAAGTCCCAGCATATACTATCCTGGTATAACATAAGCATTGTAATAGGAATACATACTATAGTATAGAAAAACCCCTTTTATGTAGTGAGTGCTGACTTCTGTCTGTCCATCACTTCCCACAATATCCTGGATTCCCAGTGTGCTTTGATTCTCTTTCCCTGCTGCTTGATGTGACACAATCTCAAGTTCTCAAGATTACATATCCCATCATGCATTGCTCCCAGCAAGAAATGATGATGTTACATTGTTCAGATGTTGAGTTGTAATGCAGAAGGCAGACTCTGTGAGAGTTGCTACACAAGGAAGTACATATCCACAGGGCTGAGTGAAACTGTGTCAGTGCATTGAGGAAGTACATCCTATAGACATCTTCAATAAGTAAGTTTGTAAGTTCACAAACTTCTACATCAATATGGATATTAAAGGAGGACTATGGGGTCAGTGTTTTTCCCCATAGTTCTCCTTAGGGTAACGGGAGGGCACAAACTAGCGTCCTCCCGTTACCCTAAGCTCAGTATACCGCGAGCTACAGCTCGCGGTATACTGAGACGCCGCAGCCGGAGCGGATACCGATGTAGATGACGGGATCCGCCCAGCTGCGTGAGTGACAGCTGGCTCTGCCTATCTAGAGGCAGAGCCAGCTGTACCCGCCCCATTCCCCCGTCCGTTCCGCCAGTCAGCGCTGGCAGATCGGAGCGGGGAGAGGGGAATCCAGCCCCTCCCCCTGTCACGGCAGAGAGCCGTGACAGGATCGAGAGGTGAGCGAACCTGATATGTGTTCGCTCACCTCCCGATCTACTGAGCCGACCTGTGACAGTCTCATTGTCACAGGTTGGCTAGAACTATGAGGTGAGTGGAAATCACTCACCTCATATTTCTATTTAAGAGTGGGATATACAGGTGAAACTCGAATAATTAGAATATCGTGCAAAGTTCATTTATTTCACTAATGCAACTTAAAAGGTGAAACTAATATATGAGATCGACTCATTACATGCAAAGCAAGGTAGTTCAAGCCTTTTGCACGATATTCTAATTATTCGTGTTTCACCTGTAAATGATACAAATTCTATATAGAAATACATTTTATTTTTAGCTTTTGACCATAAATACCCTTTAACTCATGCCCCCCTACCCCGCCCACCCCTCCAATATCTCATATAGAGGTTCCACTGTTGAGATTTCTGATACTGAGTTCGCCATTCTGCACACCTACCATCACCTTTAAGAAGGGGTCCCCCTCTCCGTGCTGAATATTTAATTTACAGTATTTCATATTACAGGAATACTGAATGCTAAAGTGGCTGGAAACACCCACAAATCCAAGCAGAGCAAGCAGCTGGAGCTACGTGGCCCACAAGACATCAGCTACAATCAAAATATATTTTTAGGATGGTCCTAATGAT